GCTGACGTTTTGGATCAGGACCCTTCTTCAGAAAACCCTTTCTGAAGAAGGGACACGACCCGAAACATCAGCTTTCCTGCCACTCTGATGCTGCCTGGCCTGCTGTGTTCCTCCAGCTCCACACTGTGTTATCTCTTCTTAGCCTTCTGTTCTCCAAGGGAAGCAGTCCTAACCTTTCCAATCTGTTCTCAGTACTGGAGCTTCTTGTCCCTGGAACCAATTTCATAAACCTCCTCTGCACTCCCTTTAATGCATTGTCTTTTTTAATGTGTTCCTTCTTCACCTGAACAAGGACTGAGGCTCCAAAAGCTTGTGTTTTCAAATAAACCTGTTGGACTATAAACCTGGCGTTGTGTGATTTTTGACCTCCCTCTTTCCATAATGATGATATGAAAGGAGGTAGATGTGCACAGTGCCTACCCTCTCCCATTAGAAATTCTTGATAGATAGTAAATTAATGAGACTTTCCTGGTTCTGTCCCAAATACCTCCTGTTTCCATTCTCTCAGGCTGAGGAATTTGGGGTGATTTTGTTTGAAGGAAAAAAATTCACCATTGTGTGGGTCTACTTCAGTATTTTTAGCCCACTATCCCTCTTCCTTGTGTGCCTGGAGTGAACTAACAATGCTATACAGAGTCCTCCACAAATTAGTAGCTTCTAGACAGCCTGAAACCACAGCTGTGGTAACATTTGCAATTTTTACAGGGAGTTTTCCTTGCATTCCCAAGGCAAGGTTCTTGTGGTGGGATGAAAGAACCCCTCGATGATTCCTCATCAATGCTGCCTTTAATTTTTCACTTGGATGTTTCACTGGGACACTCTTTAATAATTCTGTGCAATAGATCATTGTACACAGCAAATCTATGGCGTAAAGTAGGAACAAAGGAAGTCAAGATGTAATAGAAATATATTGCATAGAAAATTCAAGAGACTAGAGCATTCAGAAAATCACTGGAACTGGAGTACGTCATTCAGCTGATTAAGTCCACTTTGCTGTTTTTGTTAGACATAGTAGTTGTCTCTTACCAATTGCAATTGTCTGCTTTATCTCCATTTCTTTTTAATATTTTTACTCCGATAAATCCCCTTACTTGCCAAATAATTGAGACTTGAATGCGCTCTGCATCTTGGCAATATACTCCAATTCCAAATCCAAATAATCAAACTCCAGCTGCAATCCTGAGGGAACAAGACTTCTTGATACTTACCAATCCAAAAATATCTCTTTATTAACAATTCTTCGTCTTTCTTTGGAAAATATTTGTGGCACCAGCCCGTCTCCAAATGCATTACAGTGCACAGTTTTGGTTTCCTGTTTTAAAGAAGGATGTCTGTGCCTTCAAAGGATTACAGAAAGGTTTCAGGAACAAGAGCATTGTCCTTTGAAGATGGGCTGAGTAAATTAGATTTATGTCCTCTGGAGTTTTGAAGACCTTTAGAAGACCACTCTCATTCTTTATAATATTAAGAGGTGATCTTATTGAAGCATTCAAGACTGTGAACAGGCTTGATAAGCTAGTCTGGGAGAGGTGCTTTCCTTTTGTTAGGTCATCTAAAACACGGGGATGCAGGCTCAGGCTCTGGGATTGGTCATTCGGGACTACAATGACAAGTGATTTCTTCACTCAGAGGTTTGTGAATCTTACTAATTGGCTATCTCAGAGTTTTGGATGCTCCATTGTTGAGGATATTTTAGATTGATCAGAGTAGATTGATTTGTCTCTCAGGGAATTAAGGGCTATGGTAAGTGGGCAAGAAAGCGGAGTTGAGCTGGAAGATGAGCCGTGATCATACCGAATCAGAGAGCACGCACAAGGGAGCTGAATGGTCTACTCCAGCTCTTATTTCTCATGTTGCATTCTTATGCACAAACCTTTAGGAAAATGTTTAATGTCATATGGTACATAACTGAGAGAAAGTTGTTGACTGCAGATCAGTCATGGGGTTTGAGTAACCTGATTTGGTCTACACAGCTCATGTTGTCACTTGGGGTCTAATAGTAAATTCTCTGCTCTCCTAAAGCTTTGATGGCTACATGACTTTTCAGCAATCATTATTCCATTGCCTATGTATAATTTTCTTCCTGTCAAAAGGAAAAATATTATGCTTTATTTTTATATGTGAATTTCACCAATTAAGCTTTTGCCTGGTCTTCTTGCAGGTCATTCAAACCAGACTTTGTTGTCATTCGCCAGCATGTGTATAACATGGCTCACGGTGAGGACTACCGTAATCTCATCATTGGCTTCCAGTACGGCAGAGTGCCTTCGCTGAATTCTCTTCAATCGATCTATAATTTCTGCAACAAGCCTTGGATGGTGAGTTTAATTACCTATGCTTGCTGTGCAGACATTGCTGTGGTATGTGTACATAGTCTGAGAAACATTTTACCACAGCACTCTAATTCACCTAATTGTATGTCCATTTCAGTGACTCTGCCCTGTGTGGGCTCATCATCCACAAGTTGGGTAAACTTTGGCCCCTAATGTAATTTTGGGTGGTTGAGCTCCCAACTCGCCAGATGCATAACAGAACAGACACAGAGTACTTTAACTTCTGGGACTGATTAAGATGTCTTTGATGGGTTTCTGATTCAATTAGTGGAGACACAAGTAAAAGAGCATTGACAGTGCAATTTCCAGCAGACCAGCCAAACTGAGAATGTGCATCTTAAAGTGGGGTTTTAAAGTTTTTGCCTGACTTTGCTGCAAGAAGAAACAAGCAGGACCCCATGTAAGTCCTGATGATAGCAATCAGGGTGAGGAAGCAATTGATTTCAGCCATTGGAAGGAGGATCCCACAACAACAAGTACAGCAGGCGATGAGAGAGACTGCTGAGGTTGTCACCTTCAGTGCATCACCTGTATAGGGGCTTGGATACAGTGCAGGAAACCATGTAATGATCTCTCGAGCAGTGAGGGTGAGAAATGCTCTTTGTTTGCCCATTTCACTCAAGCACACGTGGCAATAATTCTGTTCCCCACCACTTTCCCTTCATTACCCAGCACAAAGATGCAGTTGACCATTTCTCATCCTCAATCAAAACACGCGGTCATCTTTTTGTTGCTGCCTTCACAAAAACCACTGGTACCATTCTCCTCTCACTTACTCAACTTTCTGCAATCACCAACTTCTATTGAGGCTCCTATTCACCTTTAGACTTTAGACGGGTCTGCTTAACACGTCTCCTCCTGATTCCATTTGTGACCTCTACCTCAGCATTTGCACATAAAGTGGAAGATCCATTGAATGAGACACTCATTTGCACTCCCTCCTACTTTTGGCAGAACACTCCACAAGGGAGAGAAGCGAGTCCAACCAATGGTGAACTTCCTCAAGCTAGAGAGTTAGTGCTCCAGTAGTCCACAGGAAATCAGTGATCTATTCAGACTTGTCAGGCTAAGGCCAGGGACTTAGCTGGGACCTTCAGTATTATTTACAGCTTCTTCTGAACTTTTGAAAAAGACACCATCACACAGCAATTAAAATCAAGACCCCTGTTTGATTTTATTCATGAAGTCTTCTCTTTCAGGGTATAAAAAAAATAGAACATGGAACAGTACAGCACGGTACAGGCCCTTCAGCCCACAATGTTGTGCTGACCTATTATCCTACCGAGATCAATCTACCCTGCATGTATGTTCATGGTCTCAAACAGCACAAGTTTAAAATTGAAGTTGGTGAGCTTCCAATGGGAACACTGATGATTTTATCTGATTTTATCCACTCTTTCACCCTCTTACTGTCAGGCAGTTGAGGTTAAATCTGCATCTTTGAAATAGTTGAATGACACAGATTCACTGTCTCATTTAATATTGAAAAATACCCTTTTCTGCATCAGCCAGATTTTGGACACACTTGCATTCCATCGCCCCAGTCATTAGTGCTCAGCCTCAGGAACAAGGCAGTAGGGGGCCCAAGGGCCTTAAACTCACTATAGGTTCCATTTTCTCACAGGGAGATGACCACAGTTTCTGTGCCTGAATCCACTAGGGATGGTTCCAAGAGTCTGCGTGGGGAATGTCAGAAACAAAGCAGTCCCTTGGTAATGTAATCATTCAGCAGGCACAGTGCACAGAAATAACATTGGTACAGTGTGAATCAGCATTTAGAAATTTAGCACACTCAGACAACTTATGGAAATGATTGATGCCAGTGAACTAGAGAAGGTGTGAAAAGGCAGAGTTGAATTTGTAACACAAACCTTACTTCCACATATATTCTTAAACTGGTATTTTGAATGATTTGATCAGCTGCAGTTTCTTTCTATCATTGTTCACAGTTTATATGATAGATATTAAGATATTCTCTCTTTTCCTATCCCATTATCTTCATCTGCCACATCATCTCCTGCTCCTCTCTGTCAACCCCTCCCTTCCATCCTCTCTTCCCCAACCTGTGCCTCTTCATTTCTCTCATTAACTCCCACAATCATTCCATTGCAGTGCCCTCTCCTTCTCTTCCATATAAGCTCAAAAACTCACAAATACTTCATTCTGCTGCTTACATTTTCCCATTCCCTCTGTCAGCCTTCTCCAGTGTTACTGTTGTCCCCACACTTTCTTTCCTTTTCAGGTTCTGTCTGCTGGATTCCTTTTAAAGCTAGTTTCCTAGCATGAAGCTAAGAAGCCAAGAATTTGTTTGTTTCTGGCACAGTAAGCTCTTAAAAAGAATCACGTTAGTCCTGGGAAACTGGCATGGATGGGAATTAGAAAAGAATTGAGGTCAAGTAGAAACGCAACAGCAATACAAAGAACAGACAGGTCGTCAGAGACCAAGATCTGAATATATTTTTGTATTCATGCATGGGATGTGAGCTTGCTGACTAGCCAATGTTTGTTTATCCCTAATTGCCCTTGAGAAAGTGGTGGTGAGCTTCTGCCTTGATCCTGCAGTCTGTGTGATGTAGGGAGCTTTTTTGACCCGGTGACCTTGAAGGAATGCAATATATTTCTACCTCTGAATGGTGTATGGCTTGGAGGGGATCTTGCTGATGGTGGTGTTGTGTATCTGTTGCTCTTGTCCTTCTAGGTGGTAGGGTTTACAGCTTTTGGAAGGTCGTATCAGAGGACTGTTGGTGAAACTCTGCATGCATCTTGTAGATGATACACAGTGCTGCCTCTTTGCATTAGTGGTCCAGGAGCAAATATTGAAGATGATGGCTGGGCACAAATCCAGGCAACTACTTTGCCCTGGTTGAGCTTGAACTTGTTGATGTTTTTGAAGCTGCTCATATCTAGGTAAGTGGAGAGTATCCCCTCACGCACCTGACTTGGAGATGGTCAATAAGCTTTGAGAATTGAGAGGTGAAATCCTAGTGATGGCCAGAGATGAAAAGGGATAATAGGAGCAGCTTTGGTGAACGAACCAGACCTAACTCAGACTTAAAGGCTGAAGTATTCAAGTTTGTCCCATTTAATCCCTAGGTTTGGTAAGGAAGAGATAGACACTTTCTGTATTGGATTTGAAAGGCTGGCACAGCAGTAGAAGTGGCCAGTCCAGCAAAAGACACTGCTATTGCAGAGCAAATGATGGGTAAAGCACACAAAGTTTACTCCCTCTTACCTAAGGAAAGCACCGCTGACTATGAGGAATTAAATGGGGCTATTTTAAGTGCAAAACAGCTAGTGCCAGAAGTGTATAGGCAAATATTACATGTCCTGAAGAAAAGGCCTGACCAGACATATCTAGAATAGGTCTGTGCTACTCATTTTGGCCCGTGGTTATAGACATTTAAGACTGAAGCTAAAATGAAACCTCTGTGAAGTAATTCTTCTCAAGGCATTCAAAAACAATCTAGATGCACATAAATGACCAGCAAGTAGCAGAGCCTAGACAGGCAGCTATTCTGGCTGACAGCCACAAGCTAATACACAGACCCCTGAACAGTGACTCTGACATCTGGAAGCTGTCACGTATCAGAGAGAGAGGCAAGGGTGAGGAAACTTTCTGTGAGATAGGCTGGACAGAAAAGGAAAAGCCAAGCAGAGAAAGAGGAACTGTCTCTGACCATTAAAAGGAGAGATCCAGATGTTAGATAGGTGGGGAAACCACCCCAGTGCTTCCACTGTAGGAAACCAGGATATATAAAGGAAAAATGTTGATTCTGTTGTTTGCAAGAAAATGCAGACTGCACACCAGTATCTGTAACATTAAAGGTGATCAGTGTCTGATCGTATATGACTGTTGACCAGGATAGGTATCAGCAGTTTGTCTCCAAAGGAACATTATTTAAGTCTGTTTTCTCTTCATGGATGCTGCCAGACCTGATTTTCTACCGGATTCAAATTAAATTCCAGTGTTCTGGCAAAGGGCTTATGGTAAAGATGTAGAGGTGCCACCAGTTAAAGTTTGTTGAAAGAGTTAACTTGTTGCAGGCCTGAAAACAGTGGGAATAGTCCCAAGTAGGAAGCAGCAAAGAGGCCATGAAGCAAGAATTGCTTCCAATAGAAGATCTTTTATTCTTCCCACTAGCATCCAATGTTTTGGTGAATGCTGATTTCTCATTCTGGTTGTTTAAAGCAACCAATGATCATTACTATAAAACAAAGAACTGTAGAAGCTGGAGATCTGAAACAAACAGAACCAGAAATTGCTGGAGAAACCAGCAGGCCAGGTAACGTTTATGATCTATTATCAAAAATAACAAATGCTAGAGATCACAGTGGGTCAGACAGCATCCATGGAAAGAGAGCAAGTTAATGTTTTGAGTCTAGATGACTCATCATCAGAGCTGAAGTGTGGAGGGGACAGCATTTATGCTGTAGTTTGGGGTGGGATGTGTGTGAGTATAGAGTGCTAGTGGAGAAAAGATGTTGATACTTCAGATACTTCAGTGATTGGAATGTGAGAATAGCAGAACAATGTCAGATTTGAAAGGGCAGACAGTCCCCCTGGGATAGGGGGAGGGGAGAGAGAACATGATAACATAATATAACATGCTAAAAGAAAGGGAAGAAGTGGTTCACAGTTTGAAGATGTTGAACACAATATTAAGTGCTAAAGGCTGTAAAGTGACTAGTCCTAAAATGGTCCCCGACTTTCCAGTAGCTATTCATTTTAGCACAGCATCCTGTTTGTGTACCCACATATCTGTCCTCGACATGCTGCAGTGTTCCAGTGAACCACAGCGCAAACTGGAGGAACAACATCTCATCTTCAGACTAAGCACTTTACATCCTTCTGGACTTAATATTGAGTTGAACTCTTTCAAACTGTGAACGATTTCTTCCCTTTCTTCTAGCATGTTACATTATGTTATCATGTCCTCTCTTCCCTTGCCCCCATCCCTGTGGGACAGTCTGTCCTTTCAAATCTG